TCATCTGATCATCTGTCTCTATCTATCTATCTATCTATCTATCTATCTATCTATCTATCTATCTATCTATCTATTTGTCTATCTATCTGTCTATCATCCTTTGTTCCATCTATCCATCCAACATCTGTCTGTCTCTCTGTCTATCTATTGTTACATCGTTCTATTTGTCTGTCCATCTATCATCCTTTGTTTCATCCATCCATCGTTTTTCTCTCTGTCTGTCTGTCTATCTATCTATCTATCTATCTATCTATCTATCTATCTATCTATCTATCTATCTATCTATCTATCTATCTGTCTGTCATCTTTTGGTACATCCATCCATCCTTCTATGTGTTTGCCTGTCCATTGTTTTATCGTTCCAACATCTGTCTGTCTATCTATTGTTACATCGTTCTATTTGTCTGTCCATCTATCATCCTTTGTTCCATCTATCTATCTATCTGTCTGTCGTCTTTTGGTACATCCATCCATCCTTCTATGTGTTTGCCTGTCCATTGTTTTATCGTTCTGTCTGTCTGTCTATCTGTCTGTCTATCTATCTATCTGAGGTTGTGGTTTGTTCCCTCATGTTTGGTCTCCTCTCGGCTCTGATGAGAGTATTTGGGGCCAGTGTGATTGAGATGTGAGAGCAGAGCCTCAGGCGGTCTGTCACTCACTCAGCCGGTTTGTCTGTGCTTGTGTTCATGCAGGAATGAGAACAGTAATGAAAACTACACCACAGACTTCATCTATCAGCTCTACTCTGAGGAGGGCAAGGGAGTGTTTGACTGCAGGAAGAATGTTCTGGGTCACATGCAGCAGGTACTGCACATAAATCATACGTCACAGAACACTCTGGCCGACTTAACTCCACTTTACTGAATCAATATTCTGTAGCAGACATACCGTTTTCTTTTGCCTGCTAAGATGATACTTGTATTATTTGTGCTGGTTTCTGTGTGCATGGAATTCCTGGCCTACCAAAATGTTTCCATAAATATATTTATATTGTTATTTGGGATATATTATTTTATATGATCCATGTAGGCTTTATTTTATTGTATTATGTATTTGTTAATATTATGCTGAATTTTAGGTAGTAGTAACAAATAAAATAAGTAATCTAAAACTATATAACCTAAATAATTAACATTATCAAAATATTACACCTAAACAATAAAATGCATTATACCTAATATTTTATATTATACCTATATAAAATATAATTATACCTAACTAATAAAATAACACATTAAATAATTATTAATAAATAATGAATTATTATCGATATATGTATCTTTCACTAGGGTGGTGCTCCTTCTCCATTTGACCGTAACTTTGGGACCAAAATCGCTGCTAAGGCCATGCAGTGGATCTCCAAGAAACTGAATGAAAGCTACAGAAAAGGTATGAAAGACAACAGTTATGCATTTCATGTGGTAATGAAACAAACTTTCCTAAAGCTGTCAATAGAACTCAATCACCACTTGACCTTCTTTTTGACCTGTGCTGTTGTACACGAGGCACTCAGTATTTGTCATCTTGTTAAAGCGTAATCATGACTGCACACATACACTGCAGTACTCAACATAATCCATGACCTTGATTTACTTATTTTGAAATAATACCTGTAGAGTCGCTGCATTTTCTCAGCTCAGTTTTATGTGTTTTTATTCCTTTTGCTGTGCCTGTGGATGAATAAAGATGAAGGTAAAACATTTGTATTTTACTCCGTCTGATTTGGTGACCGCATTTTTGTGGTGTAGCTTGTGTAATTGCAAATACATAAATATGAATTATTCATACATTTTCTTTAATTGTGGATTTCCTCTATATTTCTATATTTCCATTTTATTGTATTGTGTTTATTTATTTATTTCAATAGGCCAGTTCACTCTTGTAATTGTTCCAATATATAATTACCATAATATACTACAAATATTAACTATTAATGTACTAGGCTACATACATATAATTTCGATTTTTTTTTTTAATCTGTGGGTTTCCACTTCTACTGCCAGTTTACTATTGTAAATATTCCTATATGTTATCTATAATTGCTAGAATATGCTATAAATACTATTATTACTATTATACTAGGTCATATAAATGTAATTTGGATTTTTTTTTAGGTTGCAAAATGTTGCAATATTGATGTACATACCAGCTTCCAGAAAGCTAAATAAAAAAAAATAAAATAAAAAAAAAAGTTTTATCCATCTTAAGACATGTTGGCATACTGGCAGTTTGCCAGCATGATACTGCATCAACCAAGTTTAAAACGTAACTTATGTTTTATGTACAGAGTACTACTGAATACACTCGATCCAAGTGTTGCTACAGCATGTTACCTCTACACCAAACCAACAAAATTGCAATACTATATATTGCAAAACGTGTTATAAAGTCTGTATGATAATTAGTACTTGATCATAGTAGCCTATTAAGTGCCATAGTGATGTGACTGACTGTTGATCCAGTAGGGGGCAGCAGTGCATCATCACAATAACAGAGCTGTGTGAGCACGTGTTGTGCAGCATGGTCAGCCATGCTTCTCTCTCTCACACACACACACACACACACACACACACCACAACTGCTTCTTGCCTCCGGATTTTCATTATACTGCCTGTGTACTCGCAGCATAAATATATGCAGTATTGTTTGTAAATAAGTACCACATAATAATTCCCCAGACAATTCAGAATCCTAACCTCCTGGTTGCTGAAGCTAAATCAAGTGCAGAGCCATCACCAATGCCCCAAAGGTCACAAATAAAACCAGTTCACATTTAAAAAAACACAAACTAATGCATCACAAGGGTCAGGTTGCATCATTTGTCAGTCTCTTTTTTATACTTGAACGTATTTCATAGTCCTAGCCACACACACTCTGGCTTACACATATAAAAAATTTGCAAATCCAATTATTTAAGGTGGACTATAGAATTTTTTCTTTTTTAATATAACATATACTTTATATATTTATTTGTGTATTTATTTTTAATATAAGCCCAATTGTATTTGTCTGAAAGAAGAAAGTCATATACACCTAGGAGGGCTTGAGGGTGAGTATATTATAGGGTGATTTTAATTTTTGGGTGAACTATCCCTTTAAGTGTGGTATAATGGACAAAACAATTGGCTTTTTGTTGTTGTTGTTGTTGTTTTCCCGCATATTATAGATTAGGGAAATATGTGATTTCGGATACATACAGTCACTTGCTTGTTTCATGAATGAATTGGCCATTTTGTATCGGTGTTCGGCCAGTCACAATGCACTGGGTCAGCTGGCAGTTTTAGATTTTAGATATTATTTTATTTGTTTCAATATTCAATATTTATCTTTAAAACAATCTCATAATACTATTTACGCAATGGTAATTTCAGTAATGCATTCATGTCACATCTGTATTTCTGATGATATTGATTTCATTTGATTGGTAACATTTCAAATTCTTAAACTGAATCAATTAGCAGCAAATATAGGTTGCAAAATGTTGCAATATTGATGTACATACCAGCTTCCAGAAAGCTAAATAAAAAAAAGAAAAAAAGAAAAAAAAAGTTTTATCCATCTTAAGACATGTTGGCATACTGGCAGTTTGCCAGCATCATACTGCATCAACCAAGTTTAAAACGTAACTTATGTTTTATGTACAGAGTACTACTGAATACACTCGATCCAAGTGTTGCTACAGCATGTTACCTCTACACCAAACCAACAAAATAGCAATACTATATATTGCAAAACGTGTTATAAAGTCTGTATGATAATTAGTACTTGATCATAGTAGCCTATTAAGTGCCATAGTGATGTGACTGACTGTTGATCCAGTAGGGGGCAGCAGTGCATCATCACAATAACAGAGCTGTGTGAGCACGTGTTGTGCAGCATGGTCAGCCATGCTTCTCTCTCACACACACACACACACACACACACACACACCACAACTGCTTCTTGCCTCCGGATTTTCATTATACTGCCTGTGTACTCGCAGCATAAATATATGCAGTATTGTTTGTAAATAAGTACCACATAATAAATGATTCCCCAGACAATTCAGAATCCTAGCCTCCTGGTTGCTGAAGCTAAATCAAGTGCAGAGCCATCACCAATGCCCCAAAGGTCACAAATAAAACCAGTTCACATTTAAAAAAACACAAACTAATGCATCACAAGGGTCAGGTTGCATCATTTGTCAGTCTCTTTTTTATACTTGAACGTATTTCATAGTCCTAGCCACACACACTCTGGCTTACACATATAAAAAATTAGCAAATCCAATTATTTAAGTTGATTTAAGTATGCAAAGCAAGGCCTGTGGGGTCATATGCACATAGGTAATCAATAGTAATTACCATTTAATTTCTCCCTTGTGATTTCCTTCCGTCCTAAATCAGAATCTGATCTGATCGGACTGATTGAGCCCCGGACGGATGGCTCGTTTGAGGATCCGTATCAAGCCCAGACGTGTGGACTTGCCCGACTTTAACTTCATTTCATACATCACTCCTCTGAAACACAGCGTTCCAATTAAACTCCAGGCCTGGATCATTCTAATGCCCTGGAAAATAGACCATTTCCATTAAAGAGACGCTTAATTCAGGCACCGTGGGGTCCCTGAATGCTTTGTGCTGCAGATCTCTGCCTTTGATTCCACGCTTATATGGATTTCTGGAGAAAGATGTATGATCCCGAATGATATTCCTGCACAGTAAATAGTGAACGCCCATAGTGGTAAAAATAGATTACTTGAAAGCTACTGCGATAACAATGGTAATGAGAGACAATAAATCTCGGTGTGTAATATTAGAAACGCAATATTTCTCTTTCAGATAAATCATGCGTGTGTGTGCGTGACATATGTGGAGGATGAATATTTATGAATGAATAAATCCGCGAAGAAATAAACTGGCGTAATGTTCCAGCTTCTGCAGCTCGATAAAACGTGAATGATGAATGTGGGACTTTTTGAAGCTTTCTCGCACAAAATAGCAATACTATATATTGCAAAACGTGTTATAAAGTCTGTATGATAATTAGTACTTGATCATAGTAGCCTATTAAGTGCCATAGTGATGTGACTGACTGTTGATCCAGTAGGGGGCAGCAGTGCATCATCACAATAACAGAGCTGTGTGAGCACGTGTTGTGCAGCATGGTCAGCCATGCTTCTCTCTCACACACACACACACACACACACACATACACCACAACTGCTTCTTGCCTCCGGATTTTCATTATACTGCCTGTGTACTCGCAGCATAAATATATGCAGTATTGTTTGTAAATAAGTACCACATAATAAATGATTCCCCAGACAATTCAGAATCCTAACCTCCTGGTTGCTGAAGCTAAATCAAGTGCAGAGCCATCACCAATGCCCCAAACGTCACAAATAAAACCAGTTCACATTTAAAAAAACACAAACTAATGCATCACAAGGGTCAGGTTGCATCATTTGTCAGTCTCTTTTTTATACTTGAACGTATTTCATAGTCCTAGCCACACACACTCTGGCTTACACATATAAAAAATTGTAGCAAGATTTCTGTAAAAGTAATTTTTATAACAAATATAAATAAAGACAAATAAAACAAAGACAGTCAACCTCTAATTCCAACCCTAACCATCAGTGGTGAGTAAGCAGATCCTGCGAAAACTTATCGTCGTACAAATTCATACAAATTAGCCACCCAGAGCCCTATACGCAAAATACGCAAGCTGCGTAGGGCCCCCGAAACACCAGGGGGCCCCCTTGCTCTCAAAGATGATTTAATTTTAGTTTCATTTTTGAATTTGGCCAGGGGTTATGAAAACATGAACGATCATTTATTTTAATGCGGTGCACTGTTGCCCTTTCTATGTAAAAATTTGTTAAATCATGTAATGTGAATGTGGTACAGTCTTGCTCGAGACTAAAACAAATGAATTGAAAGCGTACCGAGCCGCGGAAGAGACACTGTTTTTCAAACCGGTTCCACGAGCACAATTCGAGACGGAGTGAAACACGGACAAATGCGCTTCATTAATTCGTTCATAACCGCTCATACCCCACCCCACCCCCCGGCGCGGACACAGTTTTGCGTAGGGCCCCCAGAAGTCTAGGATCAGCACTGTAGCCACCTATCAAAATGTAAAATAGTTACCAATTACGGTGAGAATATGTTGGAAAATGATTATACTTATTCAATCAGCGCATGCTTTTATCCAAAGTGACTTACAAAAGCAGAAAATCACAAGCATCACATAAATGTATGTACATTTGTACATATTGTTTAGATTTACCCTCAATAGCGTCATTTCCACACTGAACAATTATTTTTGCAGTTAATTATTAATAGAGGTGTAGAAGGTGTGAACATTCTTGGTCTATTTTAGACATGCATCAGGTGGACGCTATTTCAGAAAGTGCACATTCTGTACCATTTGGCTATTTTTGAATAAAAAATGTCAATTTAAATGTTAATGCCATCTAGCAGTTATGACATCTAGCAACAAGGACTAACTGGAGCACGCTAACCAGCCAAACTTTGATCCACACACACTACATGACTTATGAAATCGCAATTTTCTATGAAATC